TTAACGTCATCCAGAGTATTATTTTAAAGTTAACCTCAAAAAAAAAAAACAAAGAAAAAAATTAATACAATAATAAATGTATGCAAAATAAAGACAGAATATCGTCACAACAGCTGGAAAATTCTTTAAATTTTATAGAGTAAATAAAATGACACAAATGGTTTGTTCCCGAAATGTAAGAATTTTCCAATTTTTACTACGATAACTAATGTTCATTTATGATATAAAAAGCCGTAAAAACAAACCAAAAATTAAAAAAAAATAGATTTTTAAATAGTACATTACATTACGCCCCGCAGTAAGGCGGTATAAAAACCTGAATGAAGAGCTATATAAAAATGATATTCCTAGTAACGAAGTAATTTAAATCAGAACTTTATAACATTAATATTAAGCCCTGTATTCATCAAAAACAACTTCAGGTCAAGGTCGACATAAAGCGAATTCAGCAGAAGATCATGTAGATCTTCCAGGTACAATGAAAGCAATTTTCTCTCTCCTACATTGATCCAAATACTGATCAGTGATCAATATAAGTCCCTTGCTTTACAAAATATCCGATCACAACCGATTCATTTCATTTGGTATATTACCGGACATTAAAAATAAAGGTCGGAATATATCTTAAATCATGGACCTACACTGTTAATTATCTGCCAATACGATATTTTATTACTTTCACATACCGAAAACGGACGTTTATTTGGGCGCCATTCAAAACTATATTAAACATTTGCGCCAACAAGTCTAGATCGAAAAAATACCCTAAAAAATACCTAAAATACCCTACCTAGTACCAATCAATAGGCAAACATACGGACATGATTAAATTGACATAGATGTACGATTTCTAAGTGTGGGAATCGGAATAAGAAAGTGTATATCTGATGATATGATCCTCATTAGCTCTAAGGAAGATTTTTTTTATAAGAAACAATATCCCAAAAAATTCGTAAGAAGACCTTTCCTATAAAAAACTTTAGTCGTTGTGAAATTTTTTTTAAAGGAACGAAGATTTATTTGACGTATATGCAAAGGAATTGACAATTGAAAACAACTGGGTTAACGAAATCCGGTTAAATGTAAACGTACTATTAGTTCCTGATGAAGAAATTTTCTTATAAGAAAAAATGCCTCAGTTACTAAGGAAACCATTTTTCTTTAATAAAAAATTTTCCAACTGAAACATGTCTTCAGAATCTGAAAGGCTTTTTCCAATAACAAAAAATTCCCAAGGAGAATTTTAAAAGATTTTTTCGCAATTTTCTAAACCCTCAGAGGAAGACTTTTACCCCTATAGGAAAAAGTTCCTCAGTCGGAGAAGAAGAATTTTTTTTTCAAATAGAATAGGCTGAAATCATTTAGTCTTATCATTCGATATTTTTGGATATTCCCGTGCTGTAAGAATCTACAAATTTATAATTTTCTTTATGATATCGAAAAAAATTACAAATATTAGTACTGCAAGGGAACAGACCACATAATTGGTCTAAAGGAAAAATGTTCCCGTACTACAAGAATCTACTATTTTTTACTCCGATAACACTTTTTTCCTTTATGATATCGAAGAAAATAGTAAAATTGAGTAGATTCTTGCAGTACGGGAACAGACCAATTGTTATCGTTGTAAAAAGTTTTACAATTGGTCTGTTCCCGTACTGCAAGAATCTACAAGTTTTTACTATTTTTTCGATATCATAAAGTAACAAATGGTCTGTTCCCGTAATGCAAGAATCTATTACTTTTTACCACGATAACGAATTTTTCTTTGTGATATCGAAGAAAATAGTAAAATCGAGTAGATTCTTGATGTACGGGAACATACCAAAAATGTTATTGTAGTAAAAAATAGTAGATTCTTGCAGTACGGGAACAGACCAATTATTGCAGGCAGAAAATTTTATTTGGTTGACTTTTTATTAATTTATACATTTTATTAATATTAAAAATTTTATTTTTACTATTATTTAATATTAATTAGTTACAAAATAGATAATAATCGTAATAGTAGTTTAAACGCTTTCTCCAGCCACTTTTGATTGTGTTTGTTACACGCCGCCGGCCACAACAATTCTCTGCCTGGAAAAACAAAACCATTATCGATAGTCACTATCGATTAACTCCACACAACATGCCAATCAGAAAAAAATACAACCCTGCACTGTCATTTTTGCTCATCTCCAATTTTTCCATAATTTTTAGTATTATTCTCGAGTCAACCAAGTCTGCTGTCGTCACAGAGCATAATCATGCAAGGTCTCAGTTTGAAATCGATCAAGAAAAATCCAGCCCTCATCCCACTTTATGTGTGTGTCGGTGCTGGTGCCTTGGCTTCTGCCTTGTACACTCTCCGTTTGGCCACCAGAAATCCCGATGTAACATGGAATCGTTCGGCCAATCCTGAACCATGGGAAGAATACAAAGAAAAGCAATACAAATTCTATTCGCCCATCAGAGATTACAGCAAAGTTAAGTCTCCAGCTCCCAACTATGATGAGGAATAGATTAAATGTTGGTTTATTTAATTAAATGTTTAAACAAAACAAAATGTTTGTGATTAATTAATGAAGAGTAATAAACGAATGTAAATTAATATTTACTAACGAAAAAAAGAAAAATCTATATTATGTTGTGTGTTTCATGTGAGTGTATTGGTTAGCTGTCACACGTCTCTGGCGAACAGCTAATGTTTATATAATCTTTCGATGATTCCAGACAAATACGTAATTGGAAAAAATGGAAAAAAGTTTGCAAATTTTTAGAAAATAATATCAATGTGGTAATATGTCCGATAGAAAGTGCTGTAAAGGCAACGGGATAACAAGTGGAATATTGGAACTAAAAAAGAAATTTGTTACATAACCCCAAAATTTTTTGTTTGTTGAAAATGTTTGTGTGTGTTTGTCGCCGTTAATTTTGGCAAGAAAAATTAGCAGATTAAAAAAAGCGACAAAATGTTTCCAAATTGTTGAATTTGCCAAAATTTTGAAGCCTATTTTGTTGACCTACCCCTGAATATATAAGGGGAGAAATCTCTTTCAGACCCAGGTGTTTTCGCATATATACATATATGTTCCAAATTATAGCAGCAATATAAAATTCACATGACGAACATATGAAATTTAATACTTTATAGGCAGAAAAAATCAGCAATAGTTCTTCCGGTATTAACCTGGGACGTAATGCCGGTTACAGCTTCCAATATTTCATGATACAGATCCAAAATTTTCATAAAACAACGAGCCGATTATGACAATCTCAGGCCAAGTAGTATTCGGACCAATGCGATAATGGTTAGAATCGCCAGTCGATTATTATTCGGAGTTCAAATTATAAGGGTTTTTAGAGAAGGAGATTTCCGAACAGGTCAAGTTTAGGTTGCGATAGTAGATCATTTTAAAATGGAATAGTATTCGAACCAATCCCAATGGTAGTTTCAATTTACGAGTCGGAGTAAGGACCTCAATGTATTATTATGTATTTGCAAAATAATCCTCGATGATTATTTTGCAATATTTACTACATGCAGTGCGAAGGGCATTGATTACAAATAAATATGTTCCCCTTTGGGAAATGTAGAAATATGGTCCTCCAAAGTTCCGTTGGGACCAATGAATTTTTTCAAACCTAAAAAAATATTCCAGAGAATTAGGCCTTCAAACATTTAAAATTGTAACAAACATCCCAATATTGGTATAATATTGCAGTTTATTGGGATAAATTCATTAAAATTCAAATTTATTATAGCTCAAGATTCAAAAATTAAACAAAATATGTAATTTTTATCAATTAATTCTATAAACATCAATTAATTTGAGGATTACCATACGTTGCGTTACGTAGCAACACTAATTAAAGTCAAATGGTCCTTTACCAACACTATATCAATAATTGATAACTAATGTTACTAGTTCTTGCGTTTCTTCGCTCTCGGCTTTAGATATAATGACAAAAATATATAACATAGAGAGTCCTTTTGATAACATAACAAATTTATGAAATAATTTCATAAACATCAATATATTTGCGCAATTGCCATGCGTTTACGTGAGTATTACCCTTCGTTACATTACGTAGCAGCACTAATTAAGGCAAATAGAGACAATTTGGCGTTTACCAAAACTACATCAAGAATTGATAACTGTGTTATCGAATGTGTATATCTTTTGCGGTTTTTCTCTCTCAGTCAAGGATTTTGTATTGCAAACCCAGTAGTATAAAAAATAATAAACTATTTTTGTGCTCTTATAATTGCGAATTATTAATAAATAATTATTATTTTGCGCTATTTCTGACAAATTAAGACTATAACTTTAATCGATTATTCTACCAAGTGATTAGAGAGTGAGAGAGCAGAAATCGATCTGTGTAACCCTAGTTTGTTTTTGGATGCTGTAGCACACAATGGAAGTTTCTCAGTGATTTCTTTGTTATTTTTTTAATTAATTTGGTTTATAAACAAGTCAAAAGTGTTTTCATATCGTAATTAAAAGTTATAATAAAAAATATTGTTTTATTTTTGATGTTGGGAGAAAAAGAAGATATAAACCTTCGATTATTCTAAACAGTTACAAGAGAGAGTGAGAGCAAAAGTCGATCAACATCACCCTTGTTTGTTTTTGCTTGCTTTGGCGCGCATTGTTGGTTATTTTGGGTTGCAGTGGATTTTTATTAAAATTTTTGATTAAATACTGGTTTCTATACGTTAAATACAATAATATTTATATTAAATATTAGTGTTTGTTGTAATTTTTGCAATATTTTTGTGTTCAAAAGTGTTTTTTATGATATATTTCCATTTTTGCCAAATTCGTTTTGTGGAGTAAATTTTTTAATTTTATGGGAAAAAGAAGCGATAAACCCCACCCTATTAACACCTAAAGTTAACCCTCCTGCATAAAAGGTTGTATTTTTTTGTTTAAAAACTAAACCAAAACCATTAAAATATATATTTTTAAATAATAGATTCTTCAGTGAACATATTCCTAAATCGTTAAACAATGCCCCGTGCTGGTCCACGATCAAAAGTTAAAGAAAGTGTCATTGTTCAGCGACGAGGCGGTAGTTTGGGTGAAAGTAGTACAACTGAGGATGATACACATGCCGATCAGACCACTTCCGATGGCAATGCTACACAAACTCCCCGTCGTAGTCCACGAGGACGACAAAATGCATCAATACCTGTTAAACCCAGTGAGGGTTTCCGTACACCCGAAAGTGATGTAAATGCTACAGATTATGGTCTAGAATTTACCACCAGTCATATACAAAATCCATCGCCAAGACGTTGTTCAACTCTGCGGACGGGTAGTTCGCAAGAGGAATCGGCTACAAGACCAAAAGCTGAGGTGGAGAATAAAGAGAATGCAGGAGATGGTGGTGGTGGCGGTGATGCAGATGGTAAGTTAGAGATTTAATAAATTTTACAATGTTTATCGTTTTATAACTATTTTTCTAAGTAGATGCAACTCCCAAAACAACGTTAACCTCCAAGGCAAAACCAAAATCAACCAAAGCTAAAGGAAAACCCTTGGCCGAAAATCGAAATGTTCAAAATGCCTCCAGTAGTAATGCATCTATCTCACAAAGGGACGAGGCTAGTAGACGGGATCAAGATGAGTCAAGAGATCATCAGGATGAAACGGAAAGTAGAAGAGAAGAAGCCAGTTTACAGAAAAGTAAGTAACTTAATCGATTACCTAAGAAAAATCTAACTATAGATCTATCTTTCCGTTCAATTCTAATTTATTTCCCAATCATTATTTTATTACAGAACCCACTAAAAAATCTGTCGCACGAAAACCAGCTGCTAAAGGCAAAAAAGAAAAACCACCACCAACCAAACAGAATGCTCCTCAATCCCCTACGTCCGCTGCCCAAGAAAAACAAGCACAAGCATCACCCCCAGCACCCCCTGTTCCCGTTAAGAAAAAACGTAAACAAAAAAATCCTATACAACGGGATATGATGTTCTTACGTGATGTGCAAAAATTACAAAATCGTACCGATTATTTAATACCACGTCTACCATTTGCCCGATTAATACGTGAAATTATGCTCGATTCATCTAGGTATGTCGAACGAATTACACCGCCGGCATTGGAAGCCTTACAGGCGGCATCGGAAATGTATGTAACCCAACGATTGCAGGATGCCTATATGTTGACACTGCATAGGGGTCGTGTGACACTGGATGTACGCGATATGGAATTGATTAATTTTTTGAAAATGCATATTTGAAAAAAAGGAAACTATACAAAATTCAAAATCAAGAATTCTTTGAAAAAGTTTAAATTTTACATATACTTGTAAAGAGTTTTTTTTTTCAATTTAATGTATAGAATTTTTTGGTTTTTTACCTTGTTTCCGCAATTTTGTTTTTAATATTCCTAACGAATTAATTTTTTCAAAGTTTCATTTTTACAAATATTCTTGTTTATGTTGATGTTAAAGATATATTTTAAAGTTATTTATTTTAAATGTGAAATAAAAAAATCGATAAACCCAATATTATTTAAAAATTATGTGAAGAAAAAATGGAGAATTATATATTTAAATATAATACCAATATAAATTATATAATGAAAGCATATAATGAAAAAATATCACAATTCAGTAGTACTTGAAGAAATATTCTATAAAAAAAAAAAAACAATTCAATAATAGTCCTCTTTTAGTACTTGAATTTTTTAAATCTGTTTCAAATTCAGTTATCCTCCTAATATTTGTTGTTTAATAAAAAATCAAATTCGAACATTGTTTCTTGTATTTTGTATTTATGTGTTTCATCATAGAAACTACAATATTTCACCAATCCAATAGTGAAACTTCCATTCAAATATCCCAATTCATCACCGAGTTATGGCCATTTGAAATTGACCATGTTTTCTGCATTTGTGTAACGCCTAAAAGTATGCTCACAATTTTTCCTCAACTAACATAGAAACACAATGCAAACAATCTGGCAACGCAGTTGCATTTTTCTGTTTTCGGGCAATTGCAATTTCTTCAGTTTTTCCATTTGCCATACCAGGCAAACAGAATCGCGTAGCAGCTATATTTTGACTCATGGTCAATTTCAAATTGCCATAACTCGGCAACGAATGGAGATATTTGAATGAAAGTTTCACTATTGGGTAGGGGGAGAAATGTAGTTTTTTTCCTTAAACTAAAAATGCTAGAATAACTGAATATAATAGCAGATTTTTAAATATTTCTTTCAAGTACTAATATAAGACTATTAAAAGATATCATGGAAACTTCGATACACAGTAGCTGCCAAGATAATGTACCGGAGAGCAGTTAACTACTGTAACCCATACGTCGGACGGGACAGCGACTCCATCAAATTTATCCGGAAGTTCTCCAGGAACTATCCAGATGATATTGAGAGGGACTTTTTCATGATGATATTGAGAGGGACTTGGGATCTATCCACAGGTGTGGATTTTTTACAAAATATTTTTTAAGGGTCTATCAACAAGGCGTGGATTTTTTTAAAAATTATATTTTAAGGGTCTAGAGAGCAACCTCTTCTAGTACCTCTCCACATTAAAAACCCTTCTCGATATATACCAATAAAAGATTATCAAATTGGGAATATAAATTCTTCTTCACTGGAATCAGAGGCCTTTAATCTTGAAGGAGGAGATTTTCTATTTATAAAATAAGAATAATTAAAACCCCATTTTTTAAACACCAATAAAACAAATTTTGTTTACAATGAATTGATTTTTATTTTGTTGTTGTTGTTTTGCTTTTCATTCTTATAATTTGTTTTTGTTTTTAATTTTTTTCCATTGTCTAAACTAAAAAATATTATTTCATCATTTCAATTTGTTTGTTGTTATATTTTATAAATTTTTTTTTATTTATTTGGTTGTTGTTTTTGTTTTTTTAAATATTCTGTTTTCATCTGTGAATTATTCCGTTTGTTGTTTTATTTATTTATAATAATAATATATTCTATTCCTTGACACACATATATCGTACATACAACAGAAAAAGAAAATGAAAAATTGGAAACTCAAAAAATCGAGAGAAATATAATAAGAAATTTCTAATAATAAATTCTATTTAAAATTAAAAAAAAAAATAGAAAACTTGAAAATATAAAAAATTAGCAATTTAATAATTATAAAAGAAACAATAAAGAATAGTGGTAGTAGCAGTAGTAATAGTAATAGTTATAGAAGGAACCATCTAACATAAATAATAATTCTCAGAGTCCATTTAGATCATCTTTGGCCTCCCACAGATGATTGGTGGTGCTGTTGTTGTTCGATTTCTTTTTGTGTTTGACCGGAGGATTAGTACCTTGATTGACAGTTTGTACGTTTTTGTTTTTACCCCCCGCCGCGGCTGATTGGCCTCCCTTGGACGATGATGATGATGAGGTTTGAGCTTTAACACCCTTGGGTGGATAGGGTATGGTGAATAGTTGGATATTCAAATGGGCACAGATTTCAAGGCAAACCTGAAAACAAAATATGGAACAATTAATATTTTTATTTCAAAAAAATTAAAAAGATTTTCATTCTCACCTGTGAACAATATCTCACAAGATCCTGTGTACCCCAAATCAGTGTAAACCATAGCAACCAAATTTCTGGCACCACACAATTGAAATATTGATTCAGGAACAATAAACCGGGTCCCAAGAGAGACCAATCCAAATATTCCATTTCAGCTTTGGTCATGTGGGCAATCTGAGGGCAAAAAATAAATCATAATTAAAATATTTTTCGAAATTAAAAAAATAAAAAACAACAAAAATTCATGTATATAAAAAAACTTCACGATATTTAAAAAAGGATTAAAAAAACTAAAATATCAAAGTAAGAATTAAAAAAATCCTTGAAATTTTTATTTTTGTTTTTTGCATTTTTATTATTTTTTTGAATATTTAATTTTTGAATTATTCCTGGTGTGTTACTTACCACCAATTTATTGGTCACTTTTGCCGCCACCATGCCAAATGCAATAATATAGAGCGCCGAATGTTCGGTGAAAATATTTTCTGGAGATTTTTGAGCAATTATAAATGCGGGTAGCACTACCAAGGTCAATGGTATGCTGGGTGACAAAACACTGGTGCCCTGCATTTTGTAATGGTATTTGAAGCGGTAGAATACCCGATGGTCGTTTTGGAGAAAATAAATTTAAAAAAGAAAATATTAGTAAAGGATGGGATAAAAAAATAGTAAAATATATTTGAGATTTGAATGAAAACAAAATGAGAAAAATTGGAAACTTGAATATTAATTATTCAATTTTTCAAATTTTGAAATATTTTTTGTTTCAAAATTTTAGTTAATAAAATTGGATATTTTTTTATTATTTTAAAATATATTTTTTTTAAATAACTTTTAACATTTTTTATATATTATAAATTATAAAATAAAAAAAATAAAAATTTAAAAAAGAAAATAAAAATTATTAAAAAATAATGTATTTAGAAAATTTAATGCTTTGACAAATTAAGAAATTTTTTTCAAACAATTTGTTATATTATTTTGTAAACCCATATTCAAATTTATATAAACTTGTAATCAAAATTATACATTTTTTACAATTCCAATACTTTGGTATTTGTTCCTTTCATTTTGTTTCCATCAATATAATAAAATATATACCCAAAAATAAAATATTTAATTTTTTATATAAATATTTTATTTTAAGGATATTTAGACGCAATAGGTACACAAGCAATTAAAAAAATACATCTTTTGGCTTTAAAATTATAGTTTATAATAGAGGTGAACATTTTGGTATGCAACAAGGGGGGATAGGTAGAAAGAAAGATTGGTAGATAGGAAGAAACACAAGATTTTTTATGGGACTATAATACAAAATAACGTACACAACAATGAGGTTATGGATTAGTTAAAATCAAGGGACACAACACAACCTAACCCAGAGTTTAGTAAAGAAGACATTATTACACAGAGACATTTTCTAGTGTTAGTAGTTAGTATTCTAATGGTATAGACAAGGGAACAATGTTCGGATGTTAGTATAACATGGTGATTATGTTTGATGTGAGACAACCTTAATTGTTTTTTCAGGACAAGTGAAGACTTTGAATGAATATGTTTTTAAATCAAAATATGCTATGTGATTATCTTAAATTAAAAAGAAACTCAAAAATAACACCAAGATTTCCAAATAAATAAAAAAAAAAAAAGATTTTGATCTAATTCAATATTTACACGAAATCATGATAGTTTCTATGAGTTTATTTGATTTGTGATAGCCAGACAGACAGCATTTTGAATTTCGAAACCCTGCCACCACATTTCTATAATCTATGGTTTTGAGGTTTTGTTTGTATTTAAAACCTTTGTGTGTGCAGTATTGTATTGCAATGTTGTTTTTGTTATAGTAATATGAGACAGAGATATTCTACTTGTTTAAATAAACTATGCTACAATACAACTACAATTAATAGCTAATTTATAAATAAATATATGAAAATATATACAAATAATGATATATACAAATACAATACTTTGCAATGTGAACGGTGTGAGCTGCAGTGTAGTAAACTATTTGAGGTGTAATTGTGCAAAAAAAAAGAACAAAAAAAAAATACAAATAAAATTAAAAATCCATATTAAAACACAAAGTGCAATTTTTTAATTTAAAAAATAAATCAAACATGTATAATTTCAAATTAACTGAGGAAATGGCTGTGATTCAAAAGAGAAAACATTAGAAGAGCAACAAAACAGTTCAAATGTGATGTTTATGGGTATTTGCTTTGATCTCTTTAATCGATAACAGTGCTATCTCCATCTTCTTATTGGAGTTGCTATGAAAGCGAGCGAGAGAGAGAGTGGGATTTACACAGAGACAAATTGTCACATTATTGCTTTGATTAATGAGCGCCCTATTGATATTGCTCTTTGATTTTGCAAAACAAGAAAAATAACATATAAGCAAAAGAAGAAGAGTAGAAATAAAATGAATTAAAATTCATTACAAAACACAAGATGTAATGCTTTATTTAAAAGAAAAATAACAAAACATTTTAAGTGTCTTGTAAATGACATCTCTTTATTCAATAACAGTGCTATCGCCATCTTCTTATTGTGGTGGATGTCAAAGGAGAGAAAGAGACAGAGTGGGATTCACACAGAGACAACTTGTCACATTATTGCTTTGATTAATGAGAACCCTATTAATTAATATAATATACACAGAAAAGGATTAAAAGAAATTAAAAACACATCAAAATACCCAAAAGAATAATAATCAAATGTTAATATATTAATAAGCACTGTAACAATACAGTTTAAATGACATGATGTCTTTAATCAATAACAGCGCTATCGCCGCCATCTTCTTATTGTGGTGGATGTCAAAAGGAGAGAGAGAGTGGGATCACACAGAGACAACTGCTTTGCTTTGATTAATGAGTTTTGAGCGCCCTATTATAATTGACACATTGTTTCCACAACAAAAAAAATAATATGCAAGGAATGAACGAATTAAAATTCATGTTAAAACATAAAGTGCAATGTTTTTATTAAAAAAATCAAATGTGTGTATAATGTACTGGGGAATGACTGTGAACAGGGGAATTAATAAGAACAGTTACAATACAGGTGAAGGTTGTGACATGATCTACTCTGTACGGATCTATGCATGTGTCCAACACAATCATAGCAGTTTGCATATGAATTGTTGGCTAACCCTGCTCAAAAGAGATTAATAAAAAACATTAACTGTTAGTTGATATGAATGAGACAGAGAGAGATTGAATAGAAAGGTAGAAGGAAGAGATATTGACAAATCATTCGTTTGATTGATGAGCGTCCTATGGCAATTGCTGTATTGTTTTAAATATGAAAAAACTATGATTGATTGCTATAAAATTAAAATTTAAATAAAATTTATTAACAAAACATAAAAAAGTGTTTGTGTAAGAAAATAAAAAAAAAAAACAATGTTTAAATATCTTTGGCAGTGAGTTGTTACAATGATTGTTGTAGGTGGGTGCTCTACATAAACAAAATGCACAACAAATGTTTCTCTAATTATTTTCAAACATACAATTCTAATTGAAAAAAAAAACAAATAAAATAAAAATTATTTAAATGCTTTACTTTATCAATGTAAAGATATGAAATGCAAAACAAAAATATTAAAATAATTTAGATTTTAATTTAAAAAAGAAAAGTAAACTCGTTCTTACAGCCACTGAAGATCCATTTTTGCCACATCCTTCAGTCATTATTACTTTGGCATAACGTAACGCTAACAAAAGATCAATGCCAAAGGCAAAATATAAAGGCAGTATGCGCAACTCACAGCCAATAAACGACAGCTATTATATCATAAATCATTAACATTTTCAGAAAAAGACGAAAAAATAAAACAAAGTGTTTTTTGTTGTGTGACGATTTGAGTTTTTTTTAAAGGATATGTGAGAGAGAAAGATAAGGAAAAAATATAAAAATAAGTTTTTTATATATTAAAATATGAATTATATGTGTATTATTAATAATAATACAAATAAATATATAAATAATAAATAACAATAATTGAAATTAAAATATAAATAAAATCAAAATAATTTCCAGAAGACTTAAAACCAAATTAAAAAAGGTTAACTGTTTTAGGTTTATTTCTTATAATGGTTACTAAATATTTTTTAATATTTAAAAAATCAGAGGGTTTATATTTGAAAAAGACAAAGCAGAAAATATAACAATATAATGGGGAGGATGGATATTGACATCTATGATGAAAAGTCCATGGCATGGTAAAAATGGCAATTAAAATATGAATGGGATTTCAATATAGACGGATTGTCGATTTATATTTTTAATGGGGTCTCCGAAGACTACTTCGAGGTGTTGCAAAGAGCATGACAACTTTTATATACCCTCCATCTTATGGCGAAGGATGTAAAAATAAATAATTGTAATAAAATCAAGCATTCAGCACTAATTGAAACAATTGTGGGTGCCTATATTTATGAAAACTGTTGCATACTTTCAGGCGTTATATTATTTATGTATATGCAATGGATTTTTTCAAAATTGTAATTTACTCTACTACTAAATTTTTTTTAAATATAAAACTATGATAAATAAATCTTTTAATATAATTAATAATTAAAACTTATATAAAACATTGTAATATTATACTTAATAATAACACAGGGTGTCTTAAAATAAAGGATTTTTTTGTTTAAAAAAATTCTTATAAATTATACATGAATTAAAAAAAGCTTCCCATTAATGTTACGCAGGATGTGATACCATATGACAGGGGCCATCTTAGTCCCAATGAATATCGAAATTAATAAAAAATAAGCCTTAATTATAAAAAAATAGATATATAAATCAACCCATTGGCAAATTGAAAAACATAATATGGAACCATGAATAACAAAACGATATGAGTAGGGAGCCAGCCATAAAACCAAAATAATGGTGCTTAAATGTTGGGAATCTTATTGATATATATTAAGAAAATACGGGGATTCTTGCCACAATTTTTTCAAACATGGGGCAGCAGTGTGAATGGCCATATCCGACTTATCATAAAAAACCTTTATGAACACCAAATGTTATTTTGAAACCACGTCATCATTAATAAGAAAAACAAAGGGAATAAACCAAATATGTTGCTGCAAAAATGTTAGAAAACATAAAAAATAAACCCAACCAGTAGTCGATTTACAGGAAATGGGAGGTTGGGAGGGTGGTGGTGGTCGCCCAGTGGAGGTTAGGTGGTTAAAATTTATTGTTTTTGTTGGTTATTGTTGTTAATATTATTTTTTTTTCGAAACACATTAACTGCTATTATGAAAATTTATTAAAAGCCAAAATTTGTTGTAGTGATAATGATGAAATAAGGTTATAAATGCTTACAGCAACTGACGAGCCATTTTTGCCACTGCCTCCTTCAAGGAACATTTTGCAAAAATTCACAAAATTAACGAAATAACAAATGGTAATACCACACAATATGATATAATTTTTATTGTAGCCAATAATGGGTAGCTATAAAAAAATCAAAAAAATAATGGGTACAATTTTTTGAAAGGGGAAGAAGGTAGAAATGATAGAAATTGAATTGTAAATAATAAACAAAATATTTTTAAATTTTTAGTATAATATAACGTTTAAAGCTAATAATTTAAATGAATATATATTATAATAGTTCCAGGGTTTTGTTGTATTAAAAATTAATGTTATTACATAAATATGTATGAATTTAGTATTCTAAAAACAAATATATGACATATATGTATGTATTTAGTATTATAAAAACACATAGACAATTTCCAGTATTTTAATAACAGAAATATAAAACGAGGTCATTTTTGACCTCAGATAAAATAAAATTAAGTATTAAATATTCCACACAATAACATATTTTGAATAATTTCCTAAAATAATGAGTCACAATAATATATATTTTGAATATTTAATATTTTTCTTGTAATACTGGAAATTTTTTTTTTTAATTAATTAATTAATGAAACAAAAGGTTAATAACACAGTTATTTTATATTTAGGGTAGGTAGGTTTATAAACTTTATATGAATTATAAAAAAAACAAAAAACTTTAGAGAGTAATAGATATTTTTTTCAAATCTTACATTTATAAAACAAAAAAAAACTGTTGAGAAAACATGTCCAAATTTTGAAAATATCGGATAAGAAATCGAAAAAAATACTAAAAAAATTGATTTTAATATAAAAAATTTATAAAAAAAAAAATTTTGTATAAATAAAATTTAAAAAAAATTATTTTTTTATAAAAAATATATGAAGACCATCCTAAAAAGTGGATAAATATCAACAATTTATGGTAGGAAGATTTGTTGCCTAAATGAGAATCCAAAATATCGAATTAGAGACAATTAGGTTGAAAAACGTGCCCAAAAAAATTTCAAAATATCGAAATTTGGGCGGTACCTTTATATGGGGACTATACGTAAACATGGGTCCATATTGATAATTTTTGGAGGGACGACTTGTCACCCAATGAGAAACCAAAATATCGAATTAGGACCAATTCGGTTGAAAAACGTGCTCAAATCCTCAAAATATCGAATATTAGGGGGTAACGTTGTATGGGGACAACACCCAAACGTGGATAAATATTTATAATTTTTGCTAGTCAGATTTGAAACCAAAATATAAAATTACAGCCAATTCGGTTGAAAAAAGGTGCCCAAATCCTCAATATATCGAAATTTAGGCGGTAGCGTTATATGGGGACTACACCCAAACGTGGATCAATATTTATATTTTTTGGTAGTTAGCTTTGACACCCAATGAGAATACAAAATATATAATAAGAGCAAATTTGGGTGAAAAACCTGCCCAATTTCTCAAAATATCGAAATTTGGACGGTACCGTCATATGGAGGCTAATCCTAAACATGATAATTTTTCGAAGGAAGATTTTATACCTAATGAGAATCCAAAATATTACAATTACAAAAAAGTATTTGAAATCCTTAAAATTCTGAAAATCTGGAGGTACTGTTATATGGGGGCTACCTTAAAAAATGGACCAATATTGTCAATTTTTGAAGGGAAGATTTTCTATACAAGGAGAACCCAAAATACCTAATTACAGCTTCTACGGTTGAAATTACGTGTCAGAAGGATACAAAATACCGAAAATTGGGTGGTACTAAGATATGGACGGTTACCCTATAAAAGGGCCAATATTGATTATTTTGGTAGGAAATTATTCTATTCAATAAGTGTTAAAAATACCAAATTAAAAGTTCGATCTTAAATATTGTAAGCCTGACTTGGATAAGGCTTGGATAGGGAATGACACAGAATGACTTGAAAAAATTAAGATTTTGAAATAAATATTTTCAATAACAAAAAATATCCGTTTAATATTTTCCGTAGGATTTTTTTTATTTGTTTAGTTAGACATTAGGAAAATTATACTTTTGTTCATTTGTAAAGAATTCTTCTCTAACAGTTTTTTGTCATTTTTTGTTGTTGTTTCTTTTCGGAAAATGTATGTAAATTTCAATGAACCATAAGCCCAAGTTTTAGTATATAAATTAATATAAATCACTACTACAATTACAACTATATTCAAACAAAAAACTATTATATTAAATATATGTATGGTATGTATGTACGTAGAGGGGTAGGGTAGTTGATAAACCATGTAGAAAGATTATTTAATATACAATATGAGAAGAAGAAGAACTTTCAAAAACTATAATCATTTAGTTTTTAATTGGTTGGGTTTTGCAGCAAAAGGACTTCATGTTAGATCTGTTTTTTTTTTGTTTCTTTCTCAAAACGAATTAAAAAAAGTAACTGCTACAATTTGGAAACCTTAATGAGGAGCCAAGCCAACCAAAAAACAACTGGCAATAAAATCAAAGGAATCTAAGGGAACAAAGGGAGGGAGGTGGAGAGGGGAGGTGGGAAGTAGAAGTAGGAATTCAATATCTTCTGTTTTGAAAGGAAGGAAAGGATTTATGTATGTACCATCAACAAAGCCAAACTAATAGAATAGGAGTTTTTTTTATATTAATGTAGTAATCGACAACTAAAAGGAAATTGAAGGAGTAAAAAAGGAAGTATTTGATTTTCTTTTTTCAAAGGGAAATGTTACAAAGAATTTTATTGAAAAAAATATAATGGGGAGAAAAACAAATCTAGCCAAAAGAGGATATAACCAAACATTGATGATAAGTTCAAAGCTCGGCAAAATTTTTTTGTATGTTTGGTGTTTGTTGTTTTTTATTTTATTTTTTGTTTGTTGTTGTATATAACTTACGGCAACTGTTGAGCCATTTTTGCCCACACCTCCGGCCAATATAACAGTGAATATATATCGCAGTGACCATAAACCACAAACTAATGTCATTAGGCATAAGGTGGACCATAATTCTAAATTACCGAATATCTAAAGGAGAATATATAATATATATGGGAGGGTAGTAGTAGTAATAGGAGATTTTATATATATGTTGTGTAGATATATTATAAGGGAATATTAATATAAATATAACATAAATAACAACCCATTATTTTTTGGATAGGTTTTAGCAACAATTTTTTTTCAAAAGGTACTTTTAAGGGTAAGTGTATACATTTTTTCCAAAATCAACCAAAAATCATTATAGGAAACACAAACAATAAAAAAAATATAGTTATCAATCTCCTGGAAATATTATTTCTTAAAAATAAAACAAAATTAACAACAAATTTTGAAAAATAAAAATAAAAAAATCAATTTCAATGCCAACTTACCTTGGTCATCCAGATTTCGGGGCCAAAGAAAAACGATATCATGTGTATACCGATAATGGTAAATTGAGCTTCAGTAACATCGATTTTGCCAAAACGCAATGTGCCCGACACATAGGTCTGCCAGTGGGCACAATAAAATAAACCTATAGCACAGAAACACTGTGACGGAACGAGAGAAAGAAAAAACCGCAACATTAGAGAGATCGTGACAAACAATTGTAAATTAAATTAACCTTAATGTCATTGAGTTGTTTTGTGCCTCAAACCCCTTACTCTGTTGAGAACAACTCAGTTGTTGTTGTTGCCACACATACCTGAAAGAATAACCAATTGGGATAGTGACCCAACTGACATGATATACATGCTGATAATGCCACAAATACTGTTGATATCGAATCACAGCCATGATCGAACAGCTCTCCCAATGGTGATGATGTATTTGTACGTCTTGCCTGTTTGCCATCGATGGAATCTAAACTTTGATAAATGAATAGGCCAACGGCACAGAGTAGACAGGTCCATCGTGGCGGTGGGGCTGTGCCTTCTGGTGCATAACTGGAAATGAAAAAAGAATAAAAAAAATAAAAATTAATTTGAAATTCGAAAAAAAGGAGATATAAAAATAATTTGTTTTTTAATAAGTTCATTTTTTTCCTAAAGAAATTTTTCTACCCAGATAATTTTTTTTATTCGCAAACTTTTTTCCTGAAAAAAATGGCACAGAGAATTATTATATCAAAAATTGTGGGTATTTCCTCCATATGACGGGGCTATACCTAAACATGGGCCGATATTGATAACTTTTGGAGGGAAGATTTGATACCCAATGAGAATCCAAAATATCGAATTAGAGCCAAATCGGTTGAAAAACCTGCCCAGATACTCAAAATATCGTTATATGGCGGCTATACCTAAAAATGGACCAATATTGATAATTTTTGGTAGGAAGAGTTGTCGCCCAATGAAAATCCAAAATATCGAATTAGAGCCAATTCGGTGGAAAAACGTGCTCAAATCCTCAAAATATCGAAATTTGGGCGGTGGCGTTATATGGGGACTATACAGTATAAACTTGATAATCCGGACCTCGACAATCCGGATTATTCGGTAATCCGGACTGCATTTCACAACCCATTGCGTATCCTATAATCCGGATTGATTGACCTATTTGACTCAAAAATCCGGATTGTAAAGATACGTTACTTTTTATTTTAATAAAAAATCGTTGCAAATTTAATTGAAAATGGTACCTATTATATTCAACGTTCATATTTATATCCTACACAACTATGTTGTCAGGGTATTATAGCTTTGTGCAGCCCCAAATGTTTGTAACGCCGCGAAATATTGGTCCTAGACATACCTTTAAGTATACCGATCGTCATATCTCGACTAGCTGAATCGATCTAGACATGTGTGTCCGTCCGTCCGTCTGTCCATTATAATTTGTAAACACGATACAGGCCACAGTTATGGACCAATCTTCACGAAATTTTGCATGTAGGATGGGTTCTGGCCAATGAAGACCCCTATTGTTTTTGGGAAAGATCTGTTAAGATTTAGGGGATGAAATGGACCAAAAACATTATTTTTGTCGGTTTTTCTGGTCGCTCCTGAGGCCGCAATTATGGCCCAAACATTGCGAATTTTTACATGGAGAAGGGGATCGGGCCAGAGAATAAGCATGCATGTTTTGATAAAGATCGGTCAATATTTAGCGGGTCAAATGGACCCTGACTTTTGTGTGAAAAATGACAAAATTTGTATTCTATGGCATATATATTTACTCCTGGAGGATGTAGACCTGAGGAGTTGATAGCATATTCAAGAGGAGTGGTTGGCCTTTAAATTGATACCAAATATAGTGATGTATCTACTCAGATGTGGGAGTTACAGTCAAATATTTACAGGTGCTTACGTATTCAAAAATTATTTAGTAACCCATTACCACATTAGAGGGGGAAATATCGCGCTGATGGCTTTGAAATTTTTCATGAAGTTCCAGTTATGGTCAAGAAAAACGCCTACAAGTTTCGGTGATGATCAGATTAAAATTTTGGGATGAAATGGACCGAAAACTTAATTTTTTGTGTGTTTTATAGTCGATTTTAATCCGAAAATCACAGCACAACCCACCGTGAAGGTAATCTGGACAAGTAATTAGAAGGACTGTACTGAATATTCGAAAAAAGTAAGGAAGAGGTGTTGTTGACCTCTAATCGGACAAGAGGGGTCAAATATCACGAAATATTACTCAGACTCGGAATAAACATCCTCAGAAAGTTGGAGTTCGTGGTAGTTGTGTAGGGTATCGTATGGTCGGCCCCGTCCGACTATACTGCTCCGCTCACTGGTTTTGAAATGAATAATTTTCATTTTTAATAAAAACATAAAAATAATTAAATTATCACCAAATTAATATAAATTTAAACCGATTAATAAAACTCGATAATCCGGAAATCTCGGTAATCCGGATTGGGGTCTGCAATCAATTATCCGGATTAGCGAGTTTTTACTGTACTTAAACATGGACCGATATTGATAATTTTTGGTAGGAAGAGTTGTCACCCAATGAGAATCCAAAATATCGAATTAGAGCCAAATTGGTTGAAAAAATGTGCCAAATCCTCAAAATATCGAAATTTGGGAGGTACCGTTATATGACGGCTATACCTAAACATGGACCGATATTGACACTTTTTGGTAGTAAGCTTTAATACGCAATGATCATCCAAAATATCGAATTAGAGCCAAATCGGTTGAAAAATGTGCCCAAATTTTCAAAATATCGAAATTTGGGCGATACTGTTATATGGGGGCTATACCTTAACATGGGCCGTTATTGACCATTTTTGCAGGGAAGATTTGATACCTAATGAGAAACCCAAAGATCCAATTAAAGCCAATTCGGTGGAAAAACATGCCCGAAAATTGCCAAAATACCAAAAATTGAGGGTACCTTTAATGAGGGCTATACATGTACCGATATTGATAATTTCTGGAGTGAAGGTTTGCCACCCAATGAAAAGCCAAAATATCGAATTAGAGCAAATTCGGTTGAAAAACGTGCCAAAATCCGTAAAATAGCGAAATTTGGGCGGTACAGTTATATGGGGGCTATACCTTAACATGGGCCGTTAATGATCATTTTTGCAGGGAAGATTTGATACCTAATGAGACACCAAAAAATCAAATTAGAGGCAATTCGGTTGAAAACCGTGCTCAAAATTTCCAAAATACCAAAAATTTAGGCTATACCTAAACATGGGCCAATATTGATAGTTTTCGGTTTGGAAGATTTTATACCTAATGAGAAAAAAAATAATAATACAAATATTTAAAAAAAAATCCACGCCTTGGTTAAACGTTGAAAAAATATTTTTAAAAAAATCCATGTCTTGGTTAAATTAAAAACCTATTTTATAATCGACAAAGACCCCCCGCAACAAACAAAAAAAAAAAGCGTCAACAAGTCTGAAAGCAAAGCCAAATATAGTAAAAAAAAATACATTTATTTAAACGAGAGAGAGTGAAAGAGCAATAATAAAACAATTCAATGAGAAAAAAATTCAAATCACCTTCAAAAAAAGTGATTCATTGCACTTGATTTTCAAACACAACTTGGTTCGCAAATCATTTCGTTTTATAATAAATATAACAACGAGACAAAGAGACTACACAGCAGCAGAAAATGTTTTTTTTATTTCAAAAACAAATATTATTTTGAATAGATTTTTTCTATTGCCGTTTAACTCATTTCTCATTTTTTGATTACTATTAAAATAAATCAGCTGCTGCTGCTATTATGGCGTGTCTCTTGTTAAATGGACAGACACTCTGCTATACATTTCAGTCACTTTGTCAGTCTATTAGCCAATAAGAGTTCATCATGTATGTGACCGAGTGACTGGACTAACTATTTGATTTGTTGCTTTCTTCTCATTCATAATTTATTTAATAGCTGAAAAAAAAAATAAATTGTTGCTCGCCCCACACCACCAGACCATTCCCATAGAAAGAAAATCGTCATTGACTTTTAGTTGCCCTCTTCGCTTTTTTTTGCACTAGCAACTATTTTGATTTGTACTTCTCCTCTTCGTCGTCATTGTTATTCCAATTAGAATTTTTTCTTGTTGTCTCATTAAATCTAAATTTCTTATTTAAAGCAAAACAGTAAATGAAGAAAAATCGATTCTTACTATTTAGTGGCAAAAACGAATTGGGCCAAAGGTGAAAAGAGTTGAATGTACATTATTAGCAAGTGGCATTTATTTTCAAATCATATGGGAATTATCAAAAGCGGGGCAATAAATTCTCACGAGACTGTAGACACAAAAATCTAGGGGGATAAAAAAATTTTAATTTGTTTTATTAGTCCATATTCAAATTTAGAACCGAACAATGAACCCTCATCATCTTTATGACGATAATGAAACGGAATACCTTTTCAATTGGCTTTTGTTTTTGCTTTCCAGCAGATGTCGAATTGATAATCGCGAATTGGCCGATAAGAACTTTGCTACCACCAAGGAATGGACCATAAAATAAAGAAAACATTGTTGAGTACGAACTTTTTGTACCCTCCGCCAAAGGATGACAAATTTAAAAAGTTTATTTTTTAAATCCACGGCCTCGACTACACCTTGAAAAAATCTTTTTAAAAACCCACGTTGAAAAAAATATTTTAAAACCAGTGAGCGGAGCAGTATAGTCGGACGGGGCCGACCCTACGATACCCTACACACGGATCTCTAACTTTCTGAGGATATTTATTCCTGGGTGATATTTTGTTATATTTGCACCCTTTGGCCGGATTAGAGGTCAACAGCACCTCTAGTTAGTATAGTATTTAGTGTAGCCCTTCTAATTACTTGTCCAGATCCCCTTCACCGTGAGTACTGTGGTAATGTTCGGCTTATAATTGTGGCCTATAGATCGACTCGAAAAAACACAAATTAAGTTTTTGGTCATCCTAAAATTATCTGATCATCACGGAAAATTGTAGGTGTTGTCCTTGAGCATAACTGGAACCTCATGGAAAATTTCGAAGCGATTGGTATCAATTTAAATTCAAGATGTTTGGGTCATAATTGCGGCCTCAAGTGCGACCAGAAAGTAAGACAAAAATAAGGTTTTTGGTCCATTTCATCCCCTAAATATTATCCGATCTTTACCAAAAACAATAGGGGTCTTCATTGGCCAGAACCCATCCTACATGCAAAATTTTCGTTTACAAATTATAATGGACAGACGGACGGACACACATGACTAGATCGACTCAGCTAGTCGAGATAAGACTATCGGTATACTTAAAGGTGGGCCTAGGACCAATATTTCGCGGTGTTACAAACTCTAGGTGCTGCATAAAGCTATACCCTGACAACATAGTTGTGTAGGGTATAAAAATTCCCTCTTTTTATAAAACTCATAAAATATTTTTAAAAATTCTACATTGCGTGGAGACATAAAAAAAAATGGATTCCAAGAGGTCTTATTTTAAATTACCCGGTATTTTGATAGCTGTATTTTTTCCCGATCTGAAACAAAAAAAATCG